CTAGACCAGAGGATGTACACTGGTACAGATAGGAACTGGAGGCACAGGGAATCCAGGGCGGATGATCCCTTCAGGACCAGTGGTGAGAGTGGCAATACTGGGAGGGTGGAGTGAAGGTGGGGTGATAAGGGGGAACTGATTACAAGGATCTACATATAACCTCCTCCCTGGGGGATGGACAACAGAAAAGTGGGTGAAGGGAGACATCGGACAATGTAAGATATGACAAAATAATAATAATTTATGAATTATCAAGAGTTCATGAGGGAAGGGGACGGAGAGGGAAGGGGGGGAAATGAGGAGCTGATATAAAGAGCTCAAGTAGAAAGCAAATGTTTTGAGAATGATGAGGGCAACAAATGCGCAATTGTGCTTGACACAATGGATGGATGGATTGTGATGAGTTGTACAAGCCCCCAATAAAATGATTTAAAAACTCATTTTGAGCAGTAATATGCAAATACAACTTTATAATTCACTGAATTGTTCATTGTTTATCATACAGTTGATTAGTCAATGTTAATATAATGCTGATACTGGTAATGTAATAGTTATTAGAAAAATGTGAGAAATATGGCTGAAGGAATTTTTAAAACTTTAGAATACTTTTAAAAATATTATCTGTACAGGGCTCAATGGAAAGCAAATGTCTAGAAAAGAACAATGGAATATATGTGTGAATAGGTTGGATACAATTGATGTATAGATTGTAACAAGAGTTGTAAGAGCCCCCAATAAAAGTATTATAAATAAATAAATAAGACATATTTCATTTTCTTCAAAAAAACCCTCCTAAAATTTGGAGCCCTTCCACTCCAAATATATTTACCATCATCTTCATTTGAATTAGGAGCAGCTTCACCCCTTTGATTGCTCAAATATAAATTCTTGGGATTGCTTTTGATTCTTCACTTTCATTGCCCATGCCCAATCATAGACAATATATTTTGGTTCTACTTTCAAAGTAATGAATCCTCATTTCTCCACTAATAATACATTTGTGTAATTTACTACATCTCTGCACTGGGTTGCTGTAATAATTTCCTGATTTTATAGCAGCTTATTTTTGTCTTTTGTAGTCTGTTATTTCACAGGATGTTACAAGAAATTTAAAGGTCCATACATGGGAGTCTCATTAATGGTTATATCTTGCATAATCACAGTTTTCAAAATACCATTAAAATAAGAAAATAAAACTGGATAAAATCAACAGACCATATTTCACCAGTTTCTTAGAGCACAGAGTGTTTCCTTTAAAAGCGTATATCAGATTCAAAGTTTGGCCTAAATCACCTCACCTTTTCACAGAGGACAAGTCCACATGATGCTATAATACAACCTAGCTTGTATTAGAATATAAACTGTGTAAACAGGTTGCAGTATCACATCACATATAAAAATAAGGCCATGGTCTCCAAGCTTGGTGCTGCGACTGAAATAGAAGCTTCTCCTGGTTCTTTATCCAGAAGTTAACAGCACATAATTGGGTGATATAGAAAAAAGGTTGAACCACTGTAAAACCTTTTTTACCTTTGCAATTTTCCATTAATAATGTTTTTACCCGCAGATTCTTCATATATTAATAAGTGGAAAGATTTTTTAAAATAGGAAAGAAGCTTATTGTGATTATTATAATAGATTAAAAAAACTTTGGAAACAGTAAAATACTCTATATACAAGCTATAATGATAGTGCTACCAAGACTCAACATATAATTTATGCATAGATTCTAAGAGACTTTATGGGGGTTTTAAGGCGGATCTGCTGCTACATGCTGTGGTTGAAATAAGACTTTGTGGGAAAGGTGGTGGTAAGTGTTTGAACGCTAGGAGACTTGAAGGAAATGCTCAGCAAAAGGAACACCGTGGGGTCAGGAAGGGACTCCACAATACCTGGATGTCATCTTTGTCAATAACAAAGTCACAGGGGATAACTGAGCATGCAGCACTGAGTGGGAGGCAGGGGTGATTCCGTGCTGGAAACCCCCCTTCCATCGGGAGATGGAGGTCCTACTTCGGATCAGTGTGCCTTTTGCATGCTCACCACCTTCTGTCAGAGGAGGCTTGAGTGTTGTGCTGACGCTCAACCGGTTCCCCTGGAGCCTGGAAACTAAGACATACGAGGAAGATAATCCTATAATCTACTACTGTCACCCCTCCAGTGGAAACCCTGTAACGTCACGGGATTGACGCAGGACACGGAAGTGTTTTCTTTTGTTCTGTGTGGTAAACAAAAGGGGCCAAACTTGACTTCTGTTTCCAACAGTAACAGGATTTTACCACTTTTGTCCTGAGAATGCCAAGGCGGGAGCATGTTGTGCTTCACTCTGAAGACAGCACAAGACTGCTGAATGATGAGGGCACGTTTCAAACTGTGTTAAGGATGGAGCAAAGGCGCATGAATGGATTGGATACCAGACATTTTGCTAAGTACAGCAAGATCCATATCATTAGACCAATTTTAAGAACTAGAAAACTAAGCTATATAGAGATTAAAGTATTCTATGGAAATTCAGCCGAAAATTTTGGAACTGAGCTTCAAATCGAAATATGTCTGGCTCTAAAACTTTCCATTCTCTATCAGGCTTGCAAGATTAATCTGACAAATTTGGTTGAGTTTTGGAAATGAGGAGAAAGGGGGCACAGTAGTAACCAAGGGAGCTCATTCAAGACGTAACAAATCCTTAAGAGCTGTGAAATCAATTAAAAGTGGCTCCCTTCTCAGGTTGCACTAATTGTTCGTTTGAATCTCCAGTTTTCTGTAGATTGCCAAATGACCTTGTTAATCTTCAAAACTCAGAATAATGTAAAAGCTGTTTCACTTTACTAGAAAATGATATAAAATAAGAACATCATAAAAATAAATTAAAATTGTATGTTCCTTCATAAAATACAGCTCCACTGGCTGGGCAGCATCTGTGGCTCAAAGGAGAGTGTGTTTACAGGGTGTGGACCCTTTAAGGGACCCCTGAGCAACTAAAGTCCCAGAGAAGGTGGTGGAGTACTAAGCCACAAGAGGAAAACTACTCTATGGTCCCCATATCCATTTCCTCTTGTTTTTTGTTTTACCCTCCAGCACAAGCAATATAGTTTGTTGAATACAATGACTTTCAATGTCCAGCCTCAGTGTTTTCTCACCTCTCAAGAGATTCGAATGGGGGTGGGAAACAAAAGATAAAATGACCCGGTTTTTTATACGGTGGACTAGTCACATTAAATTACTTCCGAGAACGTAATGTTACTCCAGGGTGGGGATTGGTATAGTAGTAGTCATAAATCTTCTCTTTGCTAGCAAATTTCAAATGCAATGCCTCTGGCATATGCCATGTCTTCCAAACCTGCCACAAATCACAACCCTTCTATGTTTTTTGGGAGATTCAATCTTATGTATTCAACATCTGTCAGGATCCCTGATCCTAAGGACTAAACTCGTTATTTGAACCTGGTTACTCTGTCAATGACTTATGGTTTGGATCTAGCACTTCATTCAGCAACGTTTTGTGCCCTTAGAGATAGATATTAACCTTTCTCTGACCAGTAGGGTATCTAGTTCCATTGTCTGACTCTGGAGGTTAATGGGAAGATGTCAGCTCAGTTTTGTACATGTAGCCATCAGGTGGGGGGGTATCTGTGTTTCTGTGATATTCCTACCAAACCCAGCCTCAGAAACACATCAGAACATATGAACTCCCCTAATTGTTTCAAATTGCATATTACTTTGGATGGGGAAAAATAACCCCCAAGGTCTTATCTTCTGTGTCATTTCATTGAAAATGTCTCCTGTGATTGAAAATGCATGATTTCAACAACAACAGCAACAACAACAAAACGACATCAGACAATAATTATTGTGAAAGGGTCAACTATGAATCGATGGCTGGCGGGCTGCCTGGCATTGTCGGCAGTGCTCAGCATGGACTCTGTCACTCTGCCCTCTTCCTTGAAGCGCCAGTGTTAGCATTCGACACATGACAGAGATTGTACATTCATCCAGGTGTCATTTCTTTGGTATCTATTTCTTTGAGAGAGTAAGTCGGGCCTGCCCACTTTCTGTTCCGTGATCCAAGGTTGACATAATCAAAATGATGGGAAAGATAGCAATCTAGAAAAAACAGCTGAATTACAATACATAGTGTATTGTAATCTGTCTTCCTTTAAAAGGGTAAATCTGTGCTTCAGTAAAATAGTGTTAGGGATTTTCCACTCTATGGAAGTTTTCAAGGCAAAGCCCATCTGTAGACTTTACTTCAGGACACTGTTTAAGGGCATGGATCCCAGGCAAGATAACTAGAACCTGTCAGCATTCCATTTCCATTCCGCTGTCAGTAGAAGGTTAGGAGAGCAAGTAAAAGCTCGATCTTAGAGAAGCTATGCCCAATAAAGACCGCCGTGAAAAGGCTAGAAAGAGTACCTGATGGTCCAGGTCTAAAACTTGATTTTGGGATTTGGTGTTGGGTAAACTCCAGAAGTCTATGCATTATAACTGGAACTGAAAATTGAATAGGGAAGATGTTGAGTTGATAGTAACTTATCTAAATACATAGCCACTAAACACACTGCAGTGAAGGGCTGTAGAGACTGTTAGTGTTTCAGAGAGCAGACAGCCTCGTTTTTCTCCAGCAGTGTGGTTGGAGGGTATGAACTGCTGACCTGGAGGCTAGCAGTCCAGGGCTAATCCCATGGTGCAACCAGAGCTCCTGGAAGATATATTGTTGTTGTTGGGTGCTGTTGAGTTGACTCGGATGCATATTGATCCTGGGCACAACTGAATGAAGCTACTTACTGTTTCAGTTTGTTGTCAACAGATAATAGATCATCATAAATTTTCCTGAACAAGATAAAAAATTGATCCGTGGCTCAGAAAATAACAGTCATATGATTCTAGCTGTTTATTTAGCATACGGTCTCAGAGTGCAATATAAATCACAACCAAGTAAGCCAGTACACATAGCTCAAATAAGCATACATAAACAACTTGTGTTTATTTTTTATTTCTTACAGATTCTACAAAAAAGTTAAAGGATGTTCTTGAAGAATTCCATGGTAATGGTGTGCTTGCAAAGTATAATCCTGAAGGGGTAAAATATTTTATTTTCTTTATATCAGTTTTATTATATATGATTTGTTGAGTGGGACTTTCTTATTTGAAGAGTGCTTGGTAATGGGGAAATGTCATTTAAAAATATGCAATTCATATATGTACACAGGCATATGTACACTTATATACATTTATATAAACATGCGTATACTGTAAGAAAAACAAAATGAAATTTCTAACAAAATGTTATTCTGGAATATATGTGCACTGTTGCACTATGTTTTTCATCCAAAGATGTTTTGGTAATAAATATGACATTTCTCAATGACATGCTCGGAAGTGCAGAGAAGCATCTACGGAAGAGCGTGAGGTTCTCCTTTCTGAGAAGACAGAAAACGGGTCTATAGAGAGCAGGGAGGGACTGTGTCATTAGCTTCTAACATGGAACCCTAAAGGGTTATAGGACAGAAAGTTACCCCGTTAGTGATCTTTTATTTTTAATTAACAAAAGGAAGATTCAATGATGAATATAAGTCTTCCCTTTTAAAATCTAAGCATGGATTTTACTGCGCTTATTTTATTCTTAATTATTACAAGTAAGCTTCTGAGTATTGACATTCCTTCCATAGAAGATTACTTGCCCTGTCAATTGCTTTGGAATAATATTTTTTCTTGAAAGCCTTTCTTTCCTAAATATTCCTAATTGTTAAATAGACTTCCAATTATTGTTTGCTGTTATATATTAAATGTTTGATCACCATCACTCTGAATTCATTTGCAACATCCTCACATGATAGGTGGGTTATGGGGGAGTGAAAACATACTGCCTCAAAGGATATCTATCCACTTAACTAGATGTTTGCTGACTAAAATGTAGTTTAAGTTATTTCTTTTTTATTATTACCTTGTGTGGTTTTTTTTTTTTGCATGAGATAGTTTTATATAAAGGATAATTTAATTGTACATTAAGAAAGCACCCCAACCCAGTCTAGTCCAAGCCCTTCTTTCCAATATTAACCTATATGTCTGATACCAATCTATAAAGTCCTCTTCAGACTCGTGAAATATATGCAATGATACCGAATGCAGGAGGATCACAGGTCAGTGGGTTGGAAGTCCTGTGGATCCAGTGGCGGGGTAAGCATTTCAGTGCTGGCAGGGGTCTCTACGTGGTTTCTCCAGCTCCAGTGGTCTGATTGCCTCAGGGTAGGTCCATGTGGCTTCTCCTCAGTAATGTCTCACAAGGAGTCAGCCTTGTCAGTAGAGAGTCTCCAAGGGAATGAGCAGAGAGAGAGAAGTGTCTCCCCGTTCCAAGGAGTTCCCAGAATTCTCAGGAGAAGGCTATGTCCACACAGAGAGCTCATTGGCTATGACCCAATGGTTTTGTTTTTGCATGTCTCTAGAAGCACTTTTATGTTGTACTTTAATAATATATTCTCTAAGCTTATGGAATTTAGAGTTATCGCAAGCCAATCTCTAAATTCCAACTTCATCTATTTTTCATGACATATTTCTTAATCTTTCTACATGTTGCTAAAGACCTGAGCATTTTCTGACTATTTAATATTGCTAGGATTTTTCTGTTTTAAGAAGTAAAATTAATCTTTACTACTTGTAAATGATAGGGCCAGGAAACCTTTCTCCAACTTGTAATTCATATAAAAGAAATAAATGTATGCTTTTCTCTCACGCTGTATTTTACCCAATTCTCTATAATAATAATAAGAAGAAAAATGCTGTCAACTTTAAAATCTTATTCTGAAAAGTACATTCCTATCAGTGTTAAGATTAGGGATCTTTTTTCACTCTCAATTATTAGATCCAGCTTTTTCTCTTTCAACTTATATTAATAACTCATTTCAGCAACAGGTCTGTGCATTTATGAAGAGGCATTATGTAAGGAAGATACATGAATCTAGTAATTACCTTCAAAATCTAGTATGTGGTGACATAGAGTCCTCGTCAAAGTTATCATATCAGTAGAATTAAGTCCTGAGAGGTGTTTAAATAAGAACTAATTGAGGTCAAATGGTTACTTTGCAAACAAGATCATGTTTCCATTGAATTGATAGCCCACAATTTACTGTAGGGCAGGAAAATATCTCACACAGCTCTTTTTATCTCTGTATGATCCAGCTACTTTGTAGTATGAACTAGTTTCCTTGATATAATAAAAAAAACTGATCGAAGTAATATTTCTTACTTCTAATGTGCATAAAAATATTTTGGAGGATGTGTTAAACATAAATAGCTATTCCCATCTTGAATTTTTCATTCCCTTTTTCTGAGATTGAGCTAAAAAACATTAATTGTTATCTATTTCTAGCTGACAGTGATATTCCTGGTCTGGCACAAAATTTTGAGAATCATGGATCTGTTTAAAAGCCACTTTGTAAACTTGAGATTATCAGAGATATGAGATAATGAATTTATTTACTTTCCATTAACACATGTATTCTTTCTTTCCTTGCATGCACAGAAACAAGACATTCTTAACCAAGTAAGACATTTTCTTTTTCTATTAAGATCTGTTTTTTCTTCTTTTTCTGATGTGAACTATGAGTTTTCCATCCATTTCACTGAGCTATACTTCTGTTTAAATAAGGTTCATACACTATCTCAGAAATAATTGAGTTCAGACACCACCAGATATTTGTTCAGAAAAAGATGCCTACCTTGCTCAGGCGAGTCTCCATTGAAACAGAGTCTCTTAGTGAAATAGAGGAGCCAGAGTGTGGGCTTTAGTTCTGTAGACTCTGGCATTTGATGTTTTTATTTGATCAAGACTGATAGACTAAATCCTATTTATTGATAATCTTGATGTTGCAATTTATAATGGGACGTTAAAATTGTATGTAATATACAATTAAGCTATTTTTTGAGAAACAGAGGCTAAAACACTGTGTCTGGTATCCCTGGACACAAAATTATTTCATCTAGGGAAAAACAAAGATTTGAAAGTCCTGGATTTTGTCCTCCGAGGGAGAATGGCTGATCTGTTTCATTAGCTGCGCTTTCCTACTACGGGCCACTTCAGAAACAAAGATTTCGATAAATAACTCAGTCATGTATGCAGGAGCAGCATCGCTTATTCACAGGGGTAGTTCATACTAGAGTGCCTAGCCCTTACTACATTAGGATTACATAAATATTTTACCTGATGCATAGGTTGTCTAAACCCATAATATCATCTTTCGTGGACAATACTGGGTCTTTACTAATTACTTCTTATTCTCAAGTTTTGGTGTAGTTTTAAATGACAATAAATACTGTAATTTCATGCCGATAAGTCACAGTATACCTGATAATATCAAAATCATGTTGGTTGACAACGATCAAGGTCCGATCAGTCACATGTGACATTCGCCTACGGGGAAACACTACTGACATAGCAGCTCATTGACTGTGATGATTTCTAAGAGCTTCCCCTACAGAGGACGCCCTTTCTTTGATCTCCTCCCTGACCTTTGTGGAAATCTATCACTTCCTCAAAGACAAACTGCATTGGTTTTGTGGCTCTTCTGCTGCTGGTATCAGTTGTGGAGCAGCTATTGATTAACAAGCACACTCTTCTGCACATGCTGCATCCCTGTGAGGGAGTGTCTGAAAAAGTGTGTCAAAGACAGTCAAAGCTTCTCTGGGGCTCCGTGGAATGGAATTACCCATTTTCGTCTGTTTGCTCAGTCTTGGCCTCCATATGCCATTGGTCAGGCACACAATTTCAGTTGCAGAATAGCAAGACCAGGGAGAAAAAGGAACACAGAGGACACGCAGAGCTCAAAGAAATGAGGGTACACACATCCCATTGCTTTCTGTGTGTTCATCCCTCTATTGGTGTGCTCTGCCTATAGGATTTTCATTGTACACATTTCCGTCGGTAGAGGATTCCTGGCTGAAGGCAGAACTATTATTAGCTGCCCGAGCTTTCTTGTTCTTTGTGTTCTACATTGAAGTTCTCTACTAATGTGCATGTATACCTTTGAGAGTCAGAGAAGTGTGTTGCTCAAGCCACGTAATAAGGAACCTGGGAATTTAGAACCAACTTTATGCATAGCTGCTACCTAATTTATATTCTAAATGTACTTAACAAGGATTATAGACACTATGTTATAAATACCATTTTACTGTAAACCCTAGCTATCTTTGCAGAATTTAATCTAACCTTTTCCAAATAAAAGAAACATCTGGAAAGTGTAACATTATTATATGAGTCAACTAGAACCGAGTTCAATCTCAACTTTGTCATATAGTTGCAGGCTTGGGAAAAGTCACAATCTTCCGGTCTCTGTTTGCACAACTGTGCAAAAATAGAAATATCAGACTTTATCAGGTTGTTGATAGTTGAGATACACAAAAGTCTGTAAAGCGATTAGTTCTGTGTCTGGCACATAATAGATAGTTCTTCGTGTTTAGAAGCAGTGACTGTGCTTATCTGACTGTAGAGTTTATCTCAAGTCCATACGAAGTCCAGTGTTTCTGAAGGTGAAAGTGGGAGAGACAGGTCAGAGGGTCCCTTCCTGAATAGTTGTCCAGGCCATCTGGAATATGATCCTAATTAGGCTGTCCACCGCAGTTTGCTCAAGAGCTCACCTTTCTCGATACACGGCTCTAATGTACTTCCCAGCCCTAAATACTTTCTTTCTACCATCTGGTCTGAGTGGGGACATGACATGTGATTCACTCACTCTTTCAAGAATGGCCATCTTCCAGAATGTTGTCCTGGTAGTAGAATTATTATGCCTATTTTGTTTTGTCCACCTCCCACGATTGCATGGTGCCAGGAACAGGTTAACCAACATTTCTACTTTGTATCTCTTACAATATCAATACAATTTGCGTAGTCTTTTCTTATCAAACCCACTAGCAGAAAAGTATTGAAGATATATCACAGATTGGAGTGTACTATGATTAATGCAGTTTAGTTCTATTGAACTGGTTTACTCTGGATATCAGCTCTTCTTGGAATAAATCAGATATTTTATTTCCATATGCAGCTTCAGTGGGTTTGGGTTGGTTTTCAGAGAATTCTTTAGCATGCAATGCAACCATGTTCAACAATGTGAGAAGATACTCCCATGGCCATTTATGAGATTATTTATTAATCATGTTGAATATTTGTTAATCATTGTTAATAATGATTAATCACATTAATAATATGAATCATTATTTGATATTTAAACAAATATACTTAATATTTGAATACAGTCTTGCAGATTTCTTATAATACACTGATGATCATACCTCAGAAATTAGACAAATATTGTATTTTATGTAAAAACATTTAGAATTTAAGAATGAGTATTATATATATGATCCGATAGTGTGCTTTGACTGGCTAGGTGATTTTTCTAACCACTGATTTATACTGTCCCCAATTTGCTATCATGAACATAGAGGAATGTATTTCAAATGTAAATATACGCAGGGTCCTGGTAGCTCAGTGATTTAAGTATTGGGTTGCTAACCACCAGGACAGTTCTTTGAAGCCAGCAGCTTCTCTGTCGGAGAATAATGAAGATTTCTGCTTCCATGAAGATTTGCAGTCCCTTGTGCTCGCTTCGGCAGCACATATACTAAAGATTTACAGCCCCAGAAATCAAAAGGTGCAGTTCCTCTCCTCTACTCTACAGGGTCATTGTGAGTTAGAATTAGTATGATGACAGTGAGGGGTTTTGTGTGTGTACATGCACGCACATAATAAATACGTGTGTGTGTATATATATACATACATACATACATACATACATACATACATACACACACATATACAGGGGGTACACTCCCCCAAGGATTTTTTGGAAGCTATATATGTAATTCTTTTTACAAAACAACCTTATCACCTTCAAAGTACTCTCATTACACTTAACACATTTGTCAAGTCTGTGATTCCGTTCTTGGAAACATTTTTCAAACTCATCTGTGTGGATGGCTGACAGCACCTCCCTCGTTTTTTCCTTCCCTTCTTCTATGTCATCAACTCCCTGTCCTTTCATGTCCCTCTTCATTCACAGAAACAAAAAGAAGTTGCACAGAGTGAGGTCAGGTGAGTCAGGTGCGTGGGGAAAGAGAGGCATGCTGTTTTTCTCCACAAACTGGCACACTGAGATGGCTGCATGAGCAGGTGCATTTTCGTGGTGGCAAAAACAGTCTGCAGTTGGCTACAAATTAGGCCTTTTTTGTCACACACTGTTATATTATCTTTTCAAAAACTCTAAATTGAAAGCTTGATTAACGGTCTGACTTGGTGTAAGGAATGCCAAATGCATTATCGCCCTCATATCAAAAAAACAAATGAGTATCAGTATTTTGGGGGGGTTACCCCCTCATATAAAAGTTAAGATTATCAATAGTTTTTAAATTGTGTTCTCTAACAACTAGTTAAAATGTTGTTTAAATATTAGTTTTTAAATTGTTTTCTCTAACAACTAGTTAAAATGTTGTTTAAATATTAGTTTTTAAATTGTTTTCTCTAACAACTAGTTAAAATGTTGTTTAAATATTTTGAAAATAAGCAAACTTAACTGTTCTTAGTTCAACAGTAGCAACCAGCTTTGAAAGGTGATATTTACATGATCTTCAGATATTGGTGATACTTTCATTATTAAACTAGAAACACGGGCATAACGAGCTGAGTTAGAAAGTAAAGTCTCGGTGGAGTCTTCATGTGACCTTTTCATGTTTTTTAATGGTGGTAGACAAAACAGTGAAGTTTCACATGTTAGCTTTATTTTTACAATTTGGTTTATTATCTTGACCATGAGAAACAGGCCTTTAAATTGTAGGTGCTAAGGGATACTATAGGAAAATTTCCTCATTCTGGAAACTAAAGATACTAAGAATACAAGGATGAAGAATATTAAGTTCATTTATGAGCACAAGGAAATCATAGTTAATATTTTGGGATGAATAGATTAAATATCCAGTTTATGAAAATAGCGCCAAAGGACATAGAAACAACAGATTTGTGTGGAAGAGAACCATTTACATGGGATAATAATGAAGATTGGGAATGATTTGGAATACATTTCAAGTAGATTGATATATTATCAAAGTTTTAAGTTATAAATGATGAAGCAGAAGACAAAAGTTACAATCAACTTAGAGGTTTCAGACCTTTGTAAGAAAGCTTGGGGTCACACCATTCCTTGGCATTTCTCAAACCTTATCTTGTGTATAGTAAGCTTTTTAAATGATAGGTTTTTATTTACCAGTTAATACATTTGATACTAATAAATTGGTGCCAGACAACATGTAAATCTTGAAAATTTGTCAGTGAAATTATACTATTATTAACTACACATACGGGGCTTTGAAATAAGAAATAGTTAGCCCTATGGGTTAGCTAGGAGGTTTTCACCGTAATCAATTCACTTAAATTTTCTGAGAATCATTTTTCTTATCTTCAGAGCCAGAGTAATTTTTGCAAATCTACTCACTGAGTTATTGTAAGATTTATATGACACACAGTAACTTAGAGCCTAGTAACACCCTCACTTCCTT